AAAACACAATTTTTTTTTTTTTTTTTTTTTTTTGCCTTTTTATATATTTAACATAATGAAAGTAATAAAATGTTTTAGTAATTGGTATAAAACAAATTCATTAATAAATTTTTTTTATGAATATTAATTTTTTCTGTATGTACAATTTTTAAATATATAATAATAAAAAAATGTTAAAAATTATTATTAATTATATAATCAATGTCTGATTTAGAAAAAGGGTAAATTATTTATTTCTTTCAAAAAAAAATAAAAAAGATTAAAATAGTAAGATATTTAAATTAAGAAATTATTAAGTAAAACTTTATTTTAAAATACTTTATACTGTTAGTTTTTATAATATTAATATTTAACATATGATTTGACCCATTATAATATTTATATTAGATATATTTAAAAGAAAAATTTGGCAAAAAAATTTACACACAAATATTAAGGAAAAATATATCTGCACGAGTAAATGTTATTTCATTAATATGTATACAATATTTTAAATTAAATTATATAAGAATAACTGAAAAAATTTCTAAAAAAATAAAAGTAGTTCTCTTTTGATAGCAAACTATTAAAATGTATTATTTTTTTCTTTTTTATTACTTTCATTTTGTTATATATTTATAATAAATATATATATATATATATATATATATAAAATAATTTTTTCTACATTTATTTTCAAATTCAAAATTTGTTTTTTCTACAAAAATATATATTCACGTTTTTTAAAAAAAAAAAAAATATATATATAGATATATTTAAATAGTATGAATAAAGGATAATAATCTATAATAATTTTTACGTGTTCTATATCAGCTAAGTTTTAAAATTTAACATTTTTTACCAAACATCATTTATTAATGAAACATTCGGATATAAAAATTTTTGTTAAAATTAAAAGATTTTAGTACATCATTACATTTGTATTTTTTAAATTTTTTCAATAACTATTAACACATTTTTTTCTTTTAATAAAATTAAATATTTTTCATTTATATAAATGAATTTTTTTTAAAATTATTTATTATAATAGTAAATAATCACCCAAAGAAAATCTTAAAAAATAACCTTTTATTTATGTTTTTAATATATATATATACTCCGTCTATAAATTAGGTTAATATTTTAACTATATATCTTTTTAAGTTACGTATTAACATATGTTTTATCAAAAAAATTAAAGTTTAAAAAAAACTATCCATATAAAATTTACTTTTTAATATATAAATATATTTTTAATATTAAGATTAAGTCTTTTGTTTTCTTTTTCTCTTAAGTACTATATTTTAATGATAAATGTTGAAATAAATTCATAAAAAAAAAAATGTATATTCACAAATATAAATGTATATTTATCACATACATATTAAAAATACGTATGCATGCATAATATGTATGTGTATATATATAAAATTATTTTTAAAGATATAAACACAATTGAGCAATAAAAAAAAAAAAAAAATTTAATAAACAAAATAAATTAAAAAAAATACAGTGTGTTAAATATACTAGATATTTATAGATTTTAACTATTTTTTAGTGAAAAAATTAACTAAATAAGTATGTCAAATAATGACAAAATGAAGAAAATATAAAGGTTATTAATTACTCTTATATACAATAAATTTAAATTTTCAAGTGATAGTTTAGAATTTCACGTTAATAATTAAAGATCACTATTTTTCATAATTTTAAATAATATTCCTCAGTTTTTTTTTTTTTTTTTTTTTTTTTTTTTTTTTTTTTTTTTGGGGATATTATGAAAATGTAAAATTTTTTTTTTTTTTTCATATAAATAACAATCACTATGAAATATAAAATAAAATATTCTTTATATGTTCTAGATGCATATTTTTAAAGTAAATTTAAACAGAAAAAATATAAATTATTCGTTATGATATATTACAAAAAAAAAAAAAAAAAAGTTGATATATGTTATTTTTTTTTTTTTTAAACTTATTTTTTTTTTTAATATTTTATACCTTTTTTTTTTTTTTTTTTTTTTTTTTATTATACCTAACAATATATAGTAAATATGTCCATGATATTTTATGTTTCTTCTATTTTTTTTTTGTTGAATACAATATCATGTATAAATTTACAAATTGGAAATCAAAAATATCAATTGAGCACTAATAAAATTAAAAGTGATTTATTAGATTTTTATAGTACTTTAAATATTTTAAAGTCAGAAAAATATTTAAAAGACAGTATTAAAAAAATTAATTTATACACAAAATTAAGGAAAAGATTATACAAAGATAGATTAAGTATCTATGCTAATATTAGTGTAAAAGAAAAAGAAGATGTACCAATTAAAGTTACCGAAGGAACAGAAAAAAAGGTAGAAAATGAGAAGAGGGATATTATTGATCAAGCATTTATAAATAATTTTATGTTATTCAATAAAAGCAATTTTTTTTGTATTGATGAATTAGGGATAGATATTAATGTTCCTTTGTTAAAGAATAGTAATTTTGGTGCAAATATAGTTTACCAATTACCAAAGGTAATTTATGTAAATGCCTATGCAAATGCATATAATTCTATTATTAAGGGAGAATTTAATACAATAGACATTGTAAAAAGAATAAGTTTTTTTCAATTTTTTGAAAATTTTTATATAAATGCAAATTATGATTTTAAGAATAAAAAAGCTCTTTTAAATTTAGAAAGTAAGTTTTACGAATATTACAACAAATTTGGTGACAATTTTAGTTTTAATAATAAAATAATTCTTCAAAGGGATAGCAAAAATCAATATGATGGTTCAGTATGTTTATCCTTAAAATATAATAATAATGTTTTTACTCCTATTTTTAATTTTAAAGACAAGTATTATTTTATAAAACATATCTACTTATAATAAAAATAAATCTTTTTAACATATACACATTATATATATATATATATATTTTTTTTTTTGTTTGTATTTCAGATCTTATGAATACTCATATGATAATTTAAATGCTAACAGAAAATTTAGTGTAAAAATAGACAAAGACAGAAATGTTCATTTTAACTATTTATCTTTTGATAGAGTGAATGATTACAATAAATATTTTTTATTTTTTAATTTTATATTCTCCAATCCAATGCAGTCAATAATAACATTAAAACGAGAATTTATTTTTTAATATCTTGTAATTCAAATATACATTAAAAAATTATAAAAAAATCTTTTAATTTGAATTATATAATTAAAATTCAATAAAAATAAAAATATATATATATACAAACATAAAAAGTTAATTATGCTGGCATAAATGAATATTAATAAATTTACATATTTAAAAAAATTTTTTTTTTTTCTTTTTTTGTCATATCTGACATAAACATTTTAGATTTAATACATTTTTTTAATTACTCCATATACATATTTTTTTTTTTTTATAATATTTGACAACTTTTTTTTGCATTTAGTATTTTTTTTTTTTAATTATTATATATATTTATCTTTTGTTTTTTAAATGTTTAATAAATTAAAAAGTATTTTATTTATATAATTTATATGCTTATTATTTTTTGTTCTATGCATTTACATACATAATGTATTAATTTTGAAAAAAAATTTATACTAAAGTGTATTTAAATTATTATCCACTTTATGTAATTTTTTAATGAATATTGTTATACCATTTCTATTTCACACATAAAAATATTTTGAATATTATAAAATGGAATAAATGAAAAAGTTTTTTATAAAAATTATGAGTTATTTTTAACTTTTTACATTTTATTTTTTAGTTTTTTATTAATTTTTTTTTTTTTATATATTCAATTATTTTTACACTAACATTTTTCGATGCCATTTATGAGTATATTATAAACATAAAAAAATATGTATTTTTTTTTTTTTTTTTTTTTTTTTTTTTTATAATTCTGTTAATTTTTACTAAATTCTATATTTATGAAATTCTTTTATGAATTTATATATATTAAAAAAAAAAAAATTATTTCTTTTAGCAGAGATTTTATGTGAGGTATAAAAACATATACTCACTGTATATTTTAAACAAATGCTATGAAAAAATCCTATATATGTAAGAATAATCCTTTTTAAGTTTATAAATAAATTTATATATTTGGTAGAAGTTTTAATATAAAAGTTTCATAATAATCATTAAGTAAATATTAAAAATTAAAAAGAAAATGAAAAATTTAACAAAATATATAATTAAAAGGAAAAAAAAAAAAAAAATATATATATATATATATATTATGTATATAAGTTATTAAATTTATATAAACAAATATTTTTATATATGTACATGTACATAATTATTAGATTATTTGTACAATACTTTTTTTTTAAATTGGTTCTTGTAGTTCTAGTGGTTTTCCTTTATTAATTTGTCCCCATCCAATTAAACGCCAATGTTTATCAACTCTCCTACTTAAAGCTATTTTATCTCCAATTTTTGTACACACAGGTCCAGTTAATTCAAGTTTGGCTAGCTCTGTTTTAATACCTGTAACTCTACATCCAATAGAAGTAGATCCTATATTGATCATAAGAAATTCTCCATTTTTTAATTTGGCTACTTTTGTATTTTTTTCTCCATCTTGCGATTTAACACCTAATAATCTTCTTAATAAATAATATGATATTTCAATTTCTGCAAAGCAATCTGGTAATTTATTTAAATGACCAATAACTTGACCAACTAATCTATCAGCTCTTGTTAAAATTGGATCAATTCTTGTTCCAACTCCAATTAACCCTCCTGGTACAGCATATTTTAAATTATTATTTTCTGCAAACATCGTTAATATTTGTGATATAATAGGTCTGCAAGTAATTTCTCCTTTTTCATCTTTTGATATTATACCTGGTCTTATTTCAATTTTATCACCTACTTTTAAAACTCCATGTAAAATACTTCCACCAGCAACTCCCCCTTGTAATGTTTCAATATCTTCACCTGGTTTATTAACATCGAAGGATCTAATGACGATCATATGGGGAGGAGATATAAAATCTCTTTTTGGTATACTTATCTGTGTAACTATATATTCACATACAACATCAATATTATATTTTAAAACTGCACTAATAGGGATAATAGGTGCACTATCTGCAGCTGTACCCGAAACAAAATTTCTTATTTCTTCTTGTTGTTTTAATGCTTGTTCTTCTTTAATTAACTCTACTTTGTTTTGCAAAATTAAAATATGTTTTAATCTCATAATTTCAACAGCAGCTAAATGTTCTGATGTTTGTGGTTGCGGGCATGATTCATTACCAGCGACTAATAAAAGTGCTGCATCCATTACTGCTGCACCATTTAACATAGTAGCCATTAATATATCATGACCTGGACAATCAACAAAAGAAACATGTCTTAATAACTTCATTTTATGATTACAATTTTCACGAGGGCACATCGGATCATCTTCTTTACTACTTTCATATGATTTATAGCATTCTGGTGGTCTACATTCAGGATTTGTGCATTTATATATTTTAGCATTTGCATATCCTAATTTTATAGTAATATTTCTTTCTTTTTCATGTTTAAATCTAACTGTATGAACACCTGAAATCGCATGAACGAGTGTTGATTTTCCGTGAGCAACATGACCAATAGTACCCAAATTGATCGTGGCTTGTCTGCTAATTACATCTTCACTTAAAGGAGTCAATTTAGTTACATCTAAGTTTTCTAAATTTTGTTCAGCTAATTTATCTTTCTCATTAATATTCATTTTAAATTGGAAAAAAAAAAAAAAAAAATAAAATAAAATAAAACAATACAAAAAGAAATATTATAAAATTAACATAAATAAACTAAATTAGTTAATTTTAAATAGATTAAGTAAATTAAATTATTTTTTTATAAAAATAATAGATAAAACTTTAGGTTACTTCTTCATTAATTGTTATTTTATCTATTTTTGAATTTTGATTTTTGATTCGATATAATTATCAAGTTTCCTTTTTTTTTTTTTTTTTTTTTTTTTGTATACTTAGAATCTAATTATCCTAATAACGTAGGTTTACTTATAAGATTTTAAATATATGTTATTCTGTATATTTATTATAAGAAATATTCATTATAATTCTTAAAAAAGATATTTTCTATTAAAAATATTTTATGTTGATATTATTTCACATTAATAATTATTTACATAAACAACGTATTAAATTAATAATATTTTTTCTACTGATTATATTTGATAATAACAATTTTTTCTATTAATATCATTTAATATGAATTGTGTTTTATTATTTAGTATATTTTTCTCTAAAATTATAAAAATTATTGTAGGTTATATTCGCCACATGTATATGCTATTTATAGTTTTTGTTTTATCAAGATTCTTTTTTCATTCAAATTTGGTTTTATAATATTCTGTACTTGCTTTCCGTATTTACGCTGTTTTGTGTTTATGATTTTAATTTTTAAAGTATTTTATATTTACTATTATTTTGTTTTTAACACATCTAAATCTTATATATCATGATTTTGTTTGATTTTTATATTCATTCTATAAATTTTATATTTTATCTTACAATTTTTTTTTTTTTTTTTTTTTTTTTTTTTTTTT